TTTTTTTTTTTTTTTTTGTATGTGTGTGTGTGGTCCTGAAACCAAACTCTTGGAAGGCAGGGCTGAGTCTCATCCACCTCTATTGCCAGCTTGGAGTGTAGCGCTGGGCTCACGGTAAGGACAGTTTGAATGAAAAGAGAGAGAATGGAGGGTGGTTAGGCATGGTGTTGTGGAGGACAGAGACTGAGAAAGACAGATTTTGGTTTTCAGCAAGTTCATCTCGTCCATCATGAGCACTGAGCTGGGCTCTAACTGACTGGCTGGAACCTGACCTTGAGCTTTTTCAGAACATTTGGAGCAACCACAGGAAAGCTAATGAGAAACTGGAAACTGGGGTGTGAATATTAGTGTGCTCTGAATAAGAAAGAGTCAAGCTTGTTTATTGAAGGTTTCATCAAACCTACTATCAACAGTTCATAAGCTTGGAAAATTATTTCACCTACTCTATTTCCCCTCGGTCCTTCTTTTCTGAACATAATAATAAAATAAACAGAAATAGCACTTAGTTCTGCAACCCTTGAGCCTTAGTGAAGATTATAGTAAAAAAGTAATAACTTTAAATCATATATTTCTACCCTAAAAATCATATAACTATATGAAATTCTTTGGAAAATAGAGACAAGAAAATTAAAAATTACTGAATCCATTCATCCTAACATGTTTTCGTACGCCTTTTGTCAACCTTTCCCACCTATTCATAGAATTTTCTACATTGCAAATATGCCATGTATATAATTTTATATAGTACTAATTATCCCCACTTATTATAAGCATTTAAAAATATTGTAGAGTTTTATACCTAGAATTTTCTCTTTCCTTTATGTGCTGTGCTGAGGATTAGACCCTGAGCTTTTCACACTCTAGGCAACATAGCCAGAATTTTCAATGGCTCCATCACTTTTCAGAACTGAATATACAGACTGTTTTGCTTAATCCTTCACTTAAATTTGGAATTTTAGATTTTTTTTCAGATTTTTTTATTATTATAAATAATGCTACAGGGACCATATTTATGATTGGGGTTTAAAGATAATAATAAAAAATTGAGTATTACTTATGAATTGGGTTCTGTCTCATTTAATCAGTACAAAAAAATATTATAGGTAGATGATTTTCCTATCCCCATTTTACAGATGAGGAAGCAAACACAGAGGATGGGTTCTTTGCCCAAGGTAAGTGGCAAAGCCCAAATAAACTAAGGAAGCCTTGAGTCTGTTTTCCTTCAAGAGTTCAGTTCCTGGGTCAAAGGTTCATTAATGGATTCACCCAGAGAAAGACCTAAAAATATAGCTCATGCCAAACATGCTTTTTTTGCATCTTTGGGTTATGGCATCACATGCCCAGTTAGATGGAGAGTGGAAGAGGAAAATCTCCAAATGAAAACTGACCTCAAAGAAGCTGGTTCAACTCCCTCCTCATGAAGTAAAATAAAGTTTCCCAAGAAGACCTGGGGAATGTTTTCAGTTTTAACAAGGTTAGAATTACTGCATTCATGTCTTTCTGCTGCTTTTGCTGTTTGAAATAGACAGTGCCAATATGTTCTTACATTCTGTGCCATTCCCACCTACATCCCTGCAATACATCAGTGATGGTATTTTTCCAAGAAGCGGTGCCACTGTGCACTCGAGCTGCTTTGCAAGGAGAGTTAAGCTGTTCTCATCAGGAGCCAGCTCAGCACAACAGAGCACTTTCTCACTCTGCTACACAGCTCATTATCACTCAGACTTTCGCTGCAGTCAGAAGTCATTAAGTCAAAGTAGACTAGTGAGGCTTATGGAAGAAAATGTGGGGAAATATACTTTGGAGCCTACCCAATCTCCTAGGAGAGCCCACAGGTTATTTGCTGCCCTGTTCCAGGCCATACTTAATGCATGTAGTCTGTTGGCCAATGGAAAGGCCAGAAAGACATTCTCAGCAAAAGTATTTGATTCTCTTAAATCATTTTCGGAATCCCATCAGTGAGCTGCATTGCAAATCAGTGTAGAATCAGACAATCTGTGACAAATTGGCTGAGTGAGCTTAGTTAGGCAAGTTTAAGTATTACCTTTGAGTCTCAGTTCTTGCCTGCAAAAGGGGTATACCAACTTCCTCAAGCATTGTCATTATGTTTAAAAAATATACCACAACTGTTTGGTTTCTACATTGTGGTATATGACTGGCAATCGAGAAAATGTTCAAGTGCTTCCTTTGCATATGGCCAAGCTTTTAAAATTAGAGCTATAGCCTACCTGGGGAGATTTTTCATGTAGACACACCTGAAGGGATCTGCATTTTCTAGCTCTTAAAAATGGCCCAAACAATGGCCATAGTGCAACTGAAGCATGTGATTACCCCAGATTTCTCATAATTTTCTGACATCTAAGCAAACGATCAGAAGTTGAATATCCAGGAGAAAAGAGGAAACTGGAGCGAGTCTTTTTGTGCCCAGGTGGGAGCTGCGTATTCCACTTACAAAAACAAAGGGCCTTCAGTTAGCCAGACCCACACTCTGGGCCATTTGGTCACCATCTGTTATTACCTGAGCATGCCTCTTGGGCTAGTCACCCACCTAACCGATCTTTAGTGACTTATTAAAGAATTCCTTCCTACTACAGTACTATGATACCTTGTTTCTTTCTCAGTGATGTTGTAGGGGCCCTGATTCACACATTCATTCATTCAACAAAGGTTTGTTGGGTGTCAACTATGTGCCTGGGACTGGTCCAGGCATTGGGGATGCTAGAATGAAAGAAAAGACGAAACTGCCTGTTGCTCAACCTACATGCTAACCTGCCCCAATCCCTTAATCTGAATCAGATACCTTTGTACACTTTTGTAGCTCTGTTGGCATCTCATAGATGCCTGTGGCCAGCAAACACAGCAGCGTGTGTAGGCAAGCAGAAAGTGCTGCAGACACCCAGGTTTTCAACATAGGAGCCTTACTTTGTGCAATGCATTGATGATGCATCTGCTGAAATGAGTTACCAATCTGAAAATTGGCTCTTTTTTTTTTTTTTTTTTTTTAATATATCAGGGATTGAACCCATGGGAGCTTTATGACTGAGCTATATCTCCAGCACTTTTTTGTTTTGTTTTGTTTTGAGACAGAGTCACCCCATGTTGCTTAGGGCCTTGCTAAATTGCTGAGGCTGGCTTCAAACTTGAAATCCTCCTGTCTTATCCTCCTCAGCTGCTGGGATTACAGATGTATCCCACCTTGGCCAGCTGGCTCTTATTTTTGAGAGCAAAAAGTGGCCTATTATTTAAAGGAACCCATAGTGACCTTTTCCCTCAAATGAATAACCCTCATGCATGAATGACTCATCCTCTTCTGTAGCTGCACTTTTAAGTATGTCAAGTTCATCGGAAGGAAGTTTACTTTTTTGTCCCAGGCAAAGGATGGATGATGAATGAAAAACACGTGCCTGGGCTGAGAAGTTTTCCTTCCTTTCATACGGTGCCTGGGGTGCCTGTGGTCCCTCCATCATTCACCCCAGTCCTATGCTATGTCACATTTATGATTTGGGGGTACAGTACTGAATAAGGTAGATCTCCCTGCAGAAGCAGTGTTTCAGTTGAGACTTGAAGGGTGAGTGAGCCATTGCCAGGGAGACAAGAAGTGAGGGCGCAGCATGCAGAGGCAGGGTAGGGGAAAGAGGGCGTTTCAGGCATAGGAAGCAGCAGGGTTCTGGAACGGCATGGGGTGCACTTGGAAGAATGCGGCACAGGATGACTGGAGGGGAGATGATACTGAGAGTGAATAGTGATTACATTCCCACTAAGGGCCCAGCCCATGCTTCATGTTTTATATATTGACTCATCTGTTATTTTAGGGAGCAAGGAAGGTGATCTTGTATCCATGTGCATTCTTTTGCAGCAAACCGAATCCTAGAAGGGTTTCTTCATCTCAATATTTCTGGACTTCCTTTTTCTTCCTCTCACAACCGTGGACCTCCATAACATTTTTATAGAAGGCCAATATTTTATGGCTCATCTGAACTCTGAATACCCCTTTCTTCATGAGGCATAGGAACAGCTTTGTTAATATCCTGTGTTACTGTATTAAAATTGGGGGGAAATACAAGACATCATGAGTGGGTCATCCATCACTGGGAATTATCATCCTTTGCTGTTGACATAGATGATCAAGATCTGAGGATATTTGTGGAAGGAACCCTTTATCCAGACTGCCAATGTGTTCAGGTGTGCTCCCAGGTGCCAGATGCTTTTCCAGGTGTTGAGGTTAAGGTGGTGAACAAAGGAGACGCAAGTGCCTTGTCTCATGGGTCGGACATTCTAAAGAGGAGGAAACAGGTAATAAGTAAGTAAAATATACAGTGTGTTAGATAATGCTAAGTACCAGGGAGGAGAACAGAACAGGAAAGAGGCACAGAGAATGCCCAGGACTGGGCAGGTGTGTGCGCATGAGCAGCAGTGCGTGGACGGCCTCATGAAGAAGGGGGTATTGAGTAAAGAGCTGAGAGGCAAAGGCCTGGGTCCCCCAGGTGCCCACTGGGAAAGGCCTCCAGGCAGAGGCCACAGGAAACACCAGACCTGAGCTGGAGAGAGCCTGGGGCCGAGGCCCTGAAGTGAGTATTTTGGGCAAGGGGAGAATCTTCTTAGCACTGAGGTCAGGGAGGTGACAAGGACTCCCTCCCTTGATCAGAGTTGAATCAGGCTCTTCTAAGTCTTTCTGAGTAGTCCCTGACCTTTGGCTCTGTTACCTGTCTATTTCAGTTTTAGCAAGACTCCTACTTGGTCATTTTAGTGAAAATTTCCCACCCTTGATGGTGGATCCAATTCCTACACCTCCCCCTTAATATCACCCTGCCTGCCTTCAGCAAGAAGCGTTGGCCTTGCTGGTCCTTCACAGTAATTTTCCTCTGACCCAGCTACTGCTCCTTAGTTATCCTTCCCCACTTTTCCTTGTTGCCTTCAGCATTTGTTGCAGGAATCTCCCTAAATAAAGTCTGCCTTTCCACCCTTAACAAGTGGCACAAGTTAT